ACCTTTACAATTTTCCCAAAAAAAATTTTTTTTTAAAAAAAAAAAAAAAAAAAAAAAAAAAAGCCAAAAAACAACCTAGACAATATTTTGGACAACAGATATTCTTAGGGCTATATTTCCCTTTAAAAGATGACAGCTATGCTTTCCTGAAAAGACAAGTAAATGGAAACAAATCTGAAATAAAAATTAAGACTTTACAAGATCCAGGACTTGAAAATAATTTTAAGTTGGGTGTGGTGGCGCGTGCCTTTGATCTCAGCACTCAGGAGGCAGAGGCAGGTGGATGGATCTCTGTGAGTTCCAGGTCAGGCTGGGGTTAAAGACAGACCACCTAAAAAAGAACCCCCCCATTTTTTTTAATCAACATAGATTAGTTTACAACTATTAAAAAGGTATGAGCTAAGGACAGTCCCCTTTTAAAAAAATATTTTATTATTTTTATGTGTTGTGTTTTGCCTGCGTGCATGTAAAGTACACCCATGTCATGCAATGCTGATGGAGGTTAGAAGAGGGCGTCGGATCCCCTGAAACTGGAGCCATGGACGGTTGTTAGCCACCATATGAGTGCTGGGAACCGAATCTGAGTCCTCTGCAAGAGTAGTCTGTGCTTTTAACCACTGCACCATCTCTCTAGCCCAAGACAGTCCTCTTCTTTGCTTTCTTTAAAAAACTTTTATTTATTATTTTTTAACTTTTATGTGTATGAGTATATTGCCTGCATGTAGGTAGGTGCACCCAGGTCCTGCAGTACCCGAGGATGTCAGAAGAAGGCATTGGATCCCCTGGAACTGGAGTTATGGATGGTTGTTAGCCACTATGTGGGTGTTGGGAATCAAACCTGGGTCCTCTGCAAGAGCAACTAGTGCTCTTAACTGCTGAGCCATTTCTTTAGCCCATCCTGCTTTCTTAAGACAGGGTCTTATTAGGTAGTACTGGCTGAGCTGGAACTCACTAAGTAGACCAGATTTCCTGAAACTCACAGAAATCCTCCTGTTTCTGCCTCCTGAGTGCTGGGTTAATGTGCCACCTCACCTGACTATTTCTTTTTTAAGATGTATTTTTTAATTATTCTCTGATGCGCATATATGTATGTGGCTATGCCCATGTAAATGCAGGTGCCTGCAGAGTTCAGAAGATGGCATTGGATCCCCTCAAGCTAGAATTACAGATGGCTGTAAGCCAACTGATGAGGGTACTGGGAACAGAATTGGGTCCCCTGAAAGAACAGTAAGCACTTTTAAATACTGAACCATCTTTCTAGCTCCAAAAATGTTTCTTAATGCCACTTTGGGTTAGTCATATATTAATTTGCTTACTTTTTTAAGACAGGATTTTGCTATGTAGTCCGGGCTGGCCGTGAATTTGTAATCCTGCATCAGCCTCCTAAGTGTTGCAGTTATAGGTGTGTGCTACCATGTCCAGCTCTAAAATGACTATTTTTTATAGTAAATTTTGAAATAATTTCAGGCTTACAAGAATTTCTCTCCCGCCCTTACCAGATCTCTTCTTCACAATCTCTTTCCCATAGTCACTAATTTTTGTTTTGTTTAATGTCCCAGAGTTTAACTAGGACTATCTGTATGACCCTGGGTTTGGCACTAACCATCAGAGCCTGATAGACTCAACAATGGGTATACAACTGGATACTATGCCTCCCTTTCTCCCAGAATCTGTCAGTTGCAAACAGACCAGCAGTAGATGTTAGGGTACCATGAGCCCCTTTCCCACCCATAGTAGCAGGTAATTTCTACTTTTAAGAAGTCAAAGCTGGGCTGGAGAGATGGCTCAGTAGTTAAGAACACTGGCTGTTCTTACAGAAGGCCCGGGCTCAAATCCCAGCACCCACATGGCAGCTAACAACTGTCCATGGGGATCCAACACCCTCTTCTGTCCTCTGCAGGCATTGGAGGGCATGGGTGCACTTATATACATGCAAGCAATACACTCAGACACATAAAATTAAAAAATAATAAAGCCACAGCTAGGCATGGTGGCATATGCCTTTAATCCCAGCACTTGGGAAGCAGAGGGAGTTCAAGGCCAGTCTGGTCTACAGAGTGAATTCCAGGACAGCTGGAGCTACACAGAGACCCTGTCTCAAAAGACCAAAAAAAAGAAGAGCCAGATGTGGTAGCTCATGCCTAAATCCTAGCACTCAAAGCTGACATAGGAAGATTGCTATGAGTTCCAAACCAGAGTCAGCTATGTAGTGAGTTCCAGGACAGTTTGGCTACAGAATGAGACCTTGTTTCAAACAAAAGGCCCAAACTCTTGCTGTGCATGGTGGCACACTCCTTTAATACCAGCACTGGAGAGGCAGAAGCAGGTAGATCTCTCTGAGATCAAGGCTAGCCTGGTCTACATAACGAATTCCAGGCCATAGCGAATTCCAGGGAGATCCTGTCTCAAAAACAATAATAAAAACAAAACAAAAATCCAGTAGGAGCCAGGAAATGACTGAGTCTCTTTAAATAACTGCATCTAATATAACGTATCATTAAATAATATAAATTATCAAGTAACTAAAAAGCTTTGCAACTCCAATTTTTTTCAGTTTAAGAAATGCAAATAATCGCTATGATTTTAAAGAGTCTATAAATTTGGAATCCTTGAAGTTTTTGGAATCCTTTTTATTTTTGGTCTTTTTGAGACAAGGTCTCCCTGTAGCCCCAGCTGCCCTGGAACTCACTATGTAGACCAGGCTGGCCTTGAACTCTCAGAGATCCACCTGCCTCTGCCTCCTGAGTGCTGGGATTAAAGGCGTGTTCAGTCACACCTGGCTCTATGTATCCTTTTTATTAATATAATCTGACATCAGTTTCCAAGAAACTGGATCAATACAAGGTATAATCTACTTATTATAAGGGGCAGAAATAGAGTAAAAGTAAAGTTTTTTTTTTGTTGTTGTTGTTTTTTTCTTTCCCTTTTTAAGACAGGGTTTCCCTGCAGTCCCCGCCATCCTGGAACTTCCTATGTTGCTACATAGACCAGGTTGGCCTTGACTACTTAGCAATTACCTTATTTTATGAGTGACTTTTCCCACCTAATCAGCATTAATTAGTTTTTATTATTTCTTTAAGATTATATAATATTAGGTACAAAATAAATGCTTACAATCTTATTCTTGGAAAAGTGAGGTTAGACTATGATAGTCCCAAACTGAGCTATAGTACTTTTTAATAATGACTTACCAACTGGACTAGTAGAAACTCTCTGGGAAGGTGGTCTGAAGCCGGGTGCCTTGGAGTTGTCAGGATGCATATTTTCCAAGTGCCCAAGTACAGAGTTACCCAAAAAAGCGGACTGAACAGTGAAAGAAGCATCTGCAGCAACTCTTGAGGGCAGTGGACCATCTCCCCACCCTTGGTTAGCTGGTACCTGACTGCTATCAAAAAGACTACTGAAGTGATTGAAAAGCGTGGCTGGCCCAAATGTAGGCTGCAAAGATTTATTTGCTGGGTTTATGTGCATCTGAGAACCATTCATAATATTCACAGCTGATGAAAGCTGCACCGCAGCTGGTGGGCCTTGAGGTGGTGTTAAGGGAACTGGATTGGTAACAAAAATAGACTGGGGATCCTGATGCATAGTTGCATTTGGTACCACTGAGTAAAAAGAACCTCTGGGCTGCATTCGATGAGAAACTCGAGGTGCTGGTACAGCTAACTGAGGTAAATTACTGGTGTCCTGATTATCAGCAGCAACTAATCTGGGTGACACCAAAGTCAATGGAGAGGGTTCTGAGTTAGAGACAAAAGGCATTGATGCAGGATTTAAATCAGAGACATTGGATGTTTGTCCCTCCTCTTTTGTGTTACTGGAGGGAGGAGTCGGACTACTGGATGGGTGAGTTTCTGGAGCTCCTGAGGTGGTGTTGGCAGAGATACTAGAACTATTTGCAGTTGAAGGTGGTGTGCATAGGTTTGCCATGGGTTGGTCCTGTGTAGATACCTTCTCTTTGGAAGGTAGTATGACTGAGAAAGACTCCATTTTTTGTGAAGAAAGCTGTGTTTGAGGCAAAAATGTGGTAACTTGCCCACTTGTGGTAGATGTAGAGGAGACAGAGGGCATGGAAGTACAAGTGCTTGTCACAGAGGAAATCACGGCTGCTGGAGGACTGGATTTAGGCACACAGGCAAACAACTGCTTTCTGACTGATGAAGGAGTCCGGGTAGTAGTCACACATAGCTGCTGACTGGCAGCAACTACAGAAGAGACAGGGATAGGACAACTGGCTGTAGCTAGTCCAGGAGACTCTGATGGTAAAACAGTTCCATTCTGGTTGGGTAGACGGGTTGCATTATTATGCTTTGGAGAACTATTTGCATTGCCAGGATTCACAGGTCTCACTGGGAATGGTCCCCAAGTGTTAGGAGAAGGTGAGAAAGTTCCTCCAAACTGAGCCATGGGTAAGCGAGGATGCCGAATTTGTTGCATAGTTTGAGCAGCCAGCAGAGCAAAATGAGGGTGAGGATAAGCTAAGGGAAGAGAAACTGGGAAAGAAGAACGTACATTAGTTGGCACATTCTTACTAAGTTTATTAGTGGGCTGGAACGTAGATAACGTTGTTGCCTGTGAAGTTACAAGAGCTGGAGCACCCAAGGGAAATGCATTTTTGCTGGAAGTTGCTGTGGTGCCTACTCCAGATGAGAAGTTTGTGTGAACGGATTTGGTGTTGGCGGGTGTCCTGATATGATTTTTAGGAATCAAGTCTTCTAGTTCTTTAGCAGGATCTTGAATAAGTGCATTGATAAGTTGAACTGCATATCTTGTTGATTCTGTACCACCCCTGGGGAACAAAGAATAATACCAACAACAATAAAACATGTTAAGTAACTCTTTTTTTTTTTTTTTTGTATTTTCGAGACAGGGTCTCCCTGTAGCCCAGCTGACTGGGAACTTACAGAGATCCGTCTGCCTCTACCTCCAGAGTAGTAATATGCATCTTTTATAATTACCTTATTGTGATCATTCTCTCTCCATTCTTATCTTTTTGTTTATCCACATCAATATGGGCCCCAGTAACATCTTGTATTGCAGTGATGTTGCATCCCCCTCTTCCCATTATTCTGGACACCACTGAGGCTGGAACAGATAGTTTCTTTGACCTATAAAATGAAGGCTACACATGAGTTTATGAAACCAAATGTCTCTAAAATACTATAGAATAAAAAGATGTCTAAGTATGTAGATGAAATTTTATACAGACTATTCTTTTTTTTTTTTGTCTTTGTGAGACAGTCTCCTTGTCTCAAAAAGACCAAAACAAAACAAAACAAAAAACCAAAAAAGAAATTGCTATTTTAGAAACTATTATATTGAATTTAATTGTATATAAGTATACTGGTGTGCTATGTCACATTGCAATGATCATGGAGGTCGGAAGAGGGCATTGGATCCCCTGGAACTAGAGTTATAGATAGTTGTTAGCCACCATGAGGTGCTGGGAACTGAACCCAGGTCCTCTGCAAGAGAAGCCAGTGCTCATCTCTCTAGTCCCCAGGAAAGTTAAAAATTACATGGCCATTTAAAGTAAAAATTCTATTTAACTCGCTCATAATATGAGCATTCAAATCTGCCAAAAACATCACAGGTCAAGTACTCTGTAATTATCTTACTATCTTTTCTAAAGTAAAAGCAAAAAGTATATATATATATATTTTAAACTCCACATTGAGTAATATAATCTAGTTTATTCATTTTAAACCATAAACAGCTCATGTATAGTTAAAAAAAAAAAAGGCTCAGAGGACTAGAGAGATGACTCAGCAGTTAAGAGCACTGGCTGCTCTTGGCAGAGGACGCCTTCTTCTGACCTCCATGGGTTCTGCACAACATGGGTGCACCCACCTACATGCAGGCAAATACACATAAAATAAAAAAAAAATTTTTTTTTTTTTTTAAAAAAAGGCCCTTGGGCTACAGAGGTGGCTCAGTGGTTAGGAGCACTGGCTTCTCTTGCAGAAGACCTGGGTTCGAGTTCCAGCACCTATATAGCAGCTAACAACTGTCCATAACTACAGTTCCAGGGGATCTGATGCCCTCTTCTGACTTCCAAGGGTACCGCACAACATGGGTGTACTTATATACATGCAGGCAATACACTCATACATATAAAAAGAGTAATAAAATATTAAAACAGTAAGAAAATAATTTTCTTTTAAAAAAAAAGGCTCAAAGCTCTTGCTGAGGAACTATTGGCAATTGATAGCTGCTGGGAGAGGGAGAGTCAGTTCTTGAAAGGTGTGACACTGGGTAGGTTGAACATACTCTAGGTGATGGACCCATACCCATTTGGGGATCATAAATTGAATTTGATAGGCCTTACGAAAAAAAAAAGAAAAGAAAAAGAGGACATGAAGTATGTGTGTGGGCTAGGAAGGTGGAGATGGATCTGAGAGGAGAGGGTGGAGGAGACCTGAATATGATAAAAACACACTAATGAAATTCTCTAAAAGTCAAAAAAAGATTATTAAAAATTATTCAGCCGGGTGTGGTGGCACACACCTTTAATCCCAGCACTTGGGAGGCAGAGGCAGGCAGATCTCTGTGAGTACAAGGCTAGCCTGGTCTACATAGTGAGTTTCAGGACAGCTGGGGCTACAGGGAGACCCTGTCTCAAAAAGACCAAAAAAATAAATATTTTTATGTGTATGAGTATTTTGCCTATGTGTATGTAAGTGCACCTATGATGCAATGTCTGTGGAGGTCAGAAGAGGGCATTTGATCTCTTGGAACTGGAGTTACAAACAGTTGTTAGCCACCATGTGGGGACTAAGAACCAAACCAGGGTCTTCTGCAAAAGCATCCAGTGCTCTTAACTGCTGAGTCATTTCTGTATCCCTCCCCCCAACTTTAAAAAAATATTTTATTTATTTTTATTTTATGTATATGATTGTATTGCCTGCGTGTATGTAAGTGCACCTGTGTTGTGAAATGTTCACATTGTAATGATCGTGGAGAAGAGAAGAGGGTGTCAGATCCCCTGGAACTCGAGTTATGGAACTGGAGTTAGCTACCATGTGGGTGCTAGGAATTGAACTCGGGTCCTCTGGAAGAGCAGCCAGTGCTCTTAACCACTGACCATCTCTCCAGCCCCCTTAATTTTTTTTTATAAGGCTCAAATTTTCTTTATATAAAAGGTAACTCATAGATTATCCAAAAGACTAAAAAATTTATGTCACATAAAATATACATGTCAAATTTATATACTCCTTCCAATTTTGCTTTAGCATATGGCACTAAGTTTATAATAAAGACCACATTCAAATTATTAAATAGGTAATCATTTCATAAAATATGGAGAACCTAAGCCAAGTATAGTGGTACATACCTATAATCCTAGAACTCGGAAAGTAGAGGCAGGAGAATCATGCATTTAAGGTTAGCCTTGGCTGCATAGTGAATTTAAGATCTGCTTGAACTACAACTGACTTTTAAAGAACAAAACAAAACAAAAGAGAAAGTCAAGTGTGTTGGCACACTCTTATAATCCCAACACTTGGGAAGCAGAGGCAGGGAAATGACCCTGAGTTCAAAGACATTTTGGTCTACCTCTACAGAGTTTTCAGTAAAGCCAGGGCTACCTACAGAGACCCTGTCTCAAAAAAAACAAATAGGGCTGGGTGTGGTGGTACATACTCTTAACCCTAGCACTCTGGAGACAGAGGCAGGTAGATCCAACAGATCATGCCAGCTGGGGTAACAGGGACATCCTTTCTCCAACAAACAAACAAATGGGATTAATTCCACTTACCTCCGGACAACTTCTTTCCACCCTTCTTCTCTTTTTTGACCCCTCTTAGGACTAGTGAGATTCAGCTTCATGGTTGGAGAACTTGATGGCAAAGACACTGATTTGTAGCTCGCTGACAAGGAGTTAGGATTTACTTCACCTTCAAGTCTGAGAAAAGAGGGTTATCCAAGTCCAAGAAAAAGAGACATTTTTTAAGACAGAAATTCAAGAGACTATAAAGACAAAGTTATATTGAAATATTTTAAGTTTGGTTTCTCTAATAATCAAGACAGGAAAACAAAAAGAACAGAGTCCATCATCTATTTTAGTGTCAAAATGAATTATTCAATGAAATTAACATAGTTAACAAAATCAAAGCATGCTAACATTTTGAAACTTTAGACTAACGATCTTTTTTATTTTTTTTAAAGACAGGTCTCACTATATAGACCTGGCTGGCCTGTAACTTGCTATTTAGACCAACTGGCCTTGAACTCACAGAGATCCTCCTGCCTCTACATTCTGAGTTCTGGAATTAAAGGCATTCACGACCACGGCAGGCTGGCCTTTATAAAAGTACATAATTATCTTTTTTTTTTTTTTTGGTCTTTTTGAGACAGGGTCTCCCTGTAGCCCCAGCTGTCCTGGAACTCACTATGTAGACCAGGCTGGCCTTGAACTCCCAGAAATCCACCTGCCTCTGCCTCCCATCTTTTATAACTAGCACATGATTAAGAGAACACAGGTGAATTTTAATTCAGAAGACTGAAGTATATTTTTTAATACAATTTCTACTTGATAATACACTTCAAATTTTTATGCCAGCCATGAAGTAAGAAAGATGAAAGATGAATATAGAGTTAACAAGAGAAAACTTTACCGAGTCTGAGTCTTGGACGTGGCAGTAGTTGTCTTTTCTTCTTGAGAACTGAGAAGCAATGCAGGGTACCTCTTGTCACTAGAGTTCACATCTATAGTGAAATTTAACTCCTGGCTCTTGCCACCACTACTACTCTCACTGTTGCAGTCTGTGCTATCCAAGTTATCTGAATCACTATTCCCACCTGCACCACTTCTAGCTTCTCCATTTATTTTATTTTTATCTGCTTTTTGTTGTGCTAAAGATATATGTGATTCAGGTAAAATTAAATGTGTTGTGGGAGGGGATTCTTTGGTCTTATTCTTCTTATTTTTCCGATTGGTGCTGGGGGTTGTCACTACATTGGCTCTTTTTTTCCCAAACACATTAGTGAAAGTGGCAGATGTCGCAGAGATTCCAATCGTGGTGGTAGTGGTTGCACTCGGAGGTTCTATGGGAATCTCTTGCTCCACTGAAATGATTAAAAAAAAAAAAAAAAAGGATAAAAATCACATTATGAGCTATAGGTCTTAAATTATGAGAAAATATATGTAATAATTCATAATAAATCAGTCTTTGGGGTTATGTTTTTCTATAACTAATAAAGAAACCTTTATTCTTATTAGAATATCCTGCTGTGTAAGTTGGTATAGAACACACATACTATCAACATTCTGAAGACTGGTAATGTAAGTCTATTAAAAAAAACCACAACACAGTTTGAATTTAGGAAAAATCTGGAATCGCATTCTAGAGCTACAATTCAAACACAGTTATTTGTGTACTATAAGAACTGCCAGGGGGCTGGAGAGATGGCTCAGTGGTTAAGAGCACTGACTGCTCTTGCAGAGGACCTGTGTTCAATTCCCAGCACCCACATG